GGAAACAATAAAGACAAGGGAAGAAGATCAGAGGAAGACAAAAACAAGGAAACACTGGGGAAACCAAGAAAGCACGAACATGAAAAGAACGAGCAGAGGGACCAAACCAAAAAAACACAGAGCCTTAGCGTTATCACACGATTTCCCCTGTAATCTGTTTACAAAGCAGTTTAAGTCTATTAAGTCTTGTGAAGCTGAAAGTGCGACATTCCTAACATCGGAGTGTCAGAGTAAAGCAGCACAGCGTGGACATGCAAGAGTACCTGCAAGTTGTGCATACTTAGTCACACTGCACCAATCTTCTACATTACATCTCACCAGAGAGAGAAAAATCCTCACATTTGACAAGTTAACACACACACCAACACACACATGGCATCTTTTCAATAGGTTTTAGAGCGATTGGCTGCCTCTGAAAAGGAGGGCAGACGGACAGTGACGCAGAGGGAAAATGTGTCAGCACAATATGGCAAACAGTCCTCACACCACAGCGACGGCTGAGAGATTTGTTCAGGCAAAAGAGTGTTGGGTCTGCTGCAGCAGCGTTTGTATATTTTATTATGAAAGGTTAGCTGACAGCAGCAGCTCCTCTTTCCACGTCATTAAATCTTCCTGCCTCCATCGCCCATGTGTTTTAGGAGCTAGCACCTCAGAGAGGAGAGAGCATTTTGGCATCATTTCCATATTCACACGCCATCATCATCTTGTTTATGTGGCTGTTTATCCAATACTTTGAATCTTAGTCAAAAAGCACGTTGGACAGAGCCACGCTGTGCTGGTTTGTTTGTGCAGTCACTGTGAGTCATCTGGACAGACTCACTATCAGTGTTTTAGATCAAATTGTGCAACAGTAATAATCACAGCAAGAGGTGTGAGGCTTTGTTTTTTCCCCAGACTTCACCGTGTTTGTGCTGCAGACTCCCCTCGTGTTTACCTGCAGTGGGTTCTTGGTGCTGATGGCAAGGACCTGGTACTTGAAGTAGCAGAGCTCGCAGCTCCAGGAGCCTCTCTCGCTGATCCAGCGGATGAGGCAGGGTTGATGGGTGCAGCGCACAGAGCCGTCACAGCGGCAGGGGCTCAACAGCTCGCCCTGCAGGACACGAAGAAATAAATACATCAAAATGTTTTCTCATCTTATTCAGCACAGCTGTGTACCTATTAAAGCTATTTGAGATTATATAGAGCAAAGACGTGGAGGTGAAGCTTGGGGGAGGAGTTAAAAACAAGAAAAAAATACATTTAAAGCCAAACAAACTGCAGTGCAGCTTTGGTGCAATGAAGATTATCCAAAACTGCAAAGTGAAGAGACTTCCTTTGCCAATAACCGTAACTTTCCTCATTAATTTGCAACATTCTGCTCCTTTCTGGCTCCATACTTAAATTCTGGACTAGTGTAGCTTTGCATGATTCACTGTTCAAAGTAATCCTTATTTGTCTTACACTGGGCTTCAGCGCAGGCCCTCAGTTCACCTCGCCTCTGTCAGTGCGCCCCAGGGCAGCTGTGGCTACAATGTAGCTTGCCAGGGACTAAGTAAAGCGCTATACAAATATAGGCCATTTACCATTTACCATCTGTTTAAAACAAGCTGGGTTAGCTCCTCCTTTAAGCCAGCTTTCTTCTGACTGGCTGATCCTGCTAAACAAAAGCTTTAAACACAAAGTGGGCGGGGCTTCCATGTCTGTGATGACTCTCTTTGACATCATAGAGAGGCCAAGAGTAGAAAAAACAGTCTAAAGTCTGATCTGTTTAATATGAGGATCCACCATCAAAACTATATATGCTTATAATAAAGAAAAAGGACAACCATTAGAGTTCCACTTGGAATTGTTTTCCTTATAAATGCACAAGTTACAATCAAATAAATAAATAATATTTTTCTCCTTCCTTACTTTAATCTCAGGGTTGCCCAGTTTTTATGAATTCATAAATTCATGTCTTCAAAGTTGGAAACGTTCACAGTGAGTTGTTTGGATAATATGCTTTGAATATTTTTATTTTTATTTTTATCTACAACAGATAAACTATAAATAAATGTAAATTTTCTACACTTAAAACATTTAAGCAAATTAATTTTAACAGTGCTCTCTAGAATACATGTATGTCACAAACACTGTATAAAGTATTTCTTATCTTTTATTTTAGAAACGTGCACGTTAGAAGTGAAACTGAAAAACGAATAGCAAACAATTACTCATCCTTTCAATCAAATATTCAAATATTCCGGTCACACAGCGAGCGCTACAGATTGCTGGAGCCCACACAAAACAGTCTGGACTTTAAAAAAATAATAATTCTAATGTTTGTGGTTATTGTTTGGACGGAGGAGGATTTCGCACATTGACTCATATGTTGTGGTGCAGAAGAGATGATTGGTATGTCGTCAACAATATTAAATATAAAAGTTCAAACAAAGAAAATGGCAACAAAGAAACACTTTTTTCAAACTTGCTTTGCTATGATTTCGGAAAAGCTGAGTGACATTTCAACTCAAGTTGAAGTTCTTATATATTTATAAATAGATAAATATTTAAATTACATAAAGAGACTGTATTTGAACAGGTCCACAGTATAATTAAGGAAAAAAAGTACCATTCTCTCTGAATTGTTGATCGTCACTCCTAAAGTTGTACATTACCTGTTTTAGCTTTGTGTTTATGAATGAATTAATACATTTCAATGTAAATATATTTGTATATATATATATACACACACGTATATAACATTTAAAGTGCCAACAAGGCTTTACGTGTGTGTAGTTGGATAAACTGTTCATGTGTAAGTTAAAAACACCAAACCATCAGTTTTTATTATTCATCCCATCAGCTAATTTTTGGTTTGTTTGAAGGGAAAATTAAAATCTTGATAGAGTGACATGAATCATCTCCGTATAAAATGAAAACGTGTCTTTATGACTCATGTCACACATGAAAGCCGAGGACGGTTTTAGCTTTCTATATCAGGGTGGGCTTTTAGGAATAACAGTCAGGAAACAAAGAAGGCGTGCATAGCCCAGAGCTACGTAGGCCACATGCTAGAAACCCCCCCTCCACACACAAACACTTCACTGAACTAATCTATTCAACACAAATTAACCGTTTGTCCCAATCGATACACAAGTCGGAGGAGGTTACATGGTTGTGTGATGTTTTTATAAGGATTTGGAGTGATTGTGTCCAGTCTGAACCATCTGTGCGGTGGAGGGTCTGCCACCTTCAAACAAGCCAACAAGAACAAGACTGTGGATGCAAGTGGTGGAAATGAGTTTCCTCTGAAGGGTGTCTGGGCTAAGCCTTAGAGACAGAGTGAGGATCTCGGCCATTTGGGAGGGACTCATTGTTGAGCTGCTACTCCTTCACATCAAAAGGAGCCAGCTGAGATGGTTTGGGCATCTGATTAGGATGCCTCTTGGGCACCTCCCAGGCGAGGTGTTTTGTGCCTCGGGGCAGACCCAGGACATGATGGAGAGATTATATCTCTCGGCTGGTTTGGGAATGCCTGACTGTCCTCTTGGAAGAGCTGGAGGTGGTGGTTGCAGGGGGGGGAGGTCGGGGCATCTCTGCTCAGACAGCTGCCCCGCAACTCAGAACCGTATAAGCAGCAGAAAATGGATGAATGAATGATTTTTCTATGTAAGGAACTCATTAACAATGCAAAGTCCAAAGAACATAAACAGTACAGAAGATCTGAAAAGTGATGCAACCAGAGAATGTAAACAGCACTCTTTGACATTGGTGCAACATATTAAATTCACATAAATTGTCTTTTCAAACAGGTCAGGATAACTCACTCCTCTTAAGCTGAGGTTACATAATTTTTTATTTTATTTTTTTTTGACGATGACTTTGCCTGAAGTCTGACCAGCCACCACAAGCGACAGTGACGCCAGTTCAAGGTCTAAACATGTACTCACTGCTATTATTCCACCAGAACCATTTCTCATGTTTTAACAGCATGACCCAACATTTAACTGCCAGTTTGGTCAACAGTGATGCAAAAAATAAACGTTATCTGTTTAGATAAACAAATTTCATTATTAATTATATTACTAAGAACAGACAAAGGTGCCTCTGTTGTACATCTTTCTCCACAGAGGTATGAAGAGCGATGAGAATATAGAGGGCTGCTTGTCTCAGGTTTATTAGTGGTAAACTTTACTGCTGATAGAACAGAAGAGACCATTGTAACCCAGACTCAAAATAAGTGCACCTTTGTTTTCCAGAGTGCCGTGCTTCTCACTTCAGTTTACTATATTATTTTCTTTTAAAAAAGGTGGGTAAGAAAAGCAAACTTGGAAAGAGTAGCGTGCACGTTGTTATCTTTATTATAGTGAATGAATGATGAATCACCCTCCTGCATGAATCATACATCAATAACAGCCCGATTTTATGCATGAACCATGATGATAAAGATACAGAAAATGAAGTGCACCGCAAAAATAGCATATTGTGAGCGGTTTACATGCCCACCACCCCACCAGTACAAAGGAAAAAAGCATAAATGTTTTCAGAGGTTTCTGTTTAAGAGGAGCAAAGTACAGTCATTTATTTTCTTCTTTTTAAATATAGTAAATATAAAATAAATGAAAAAGGTGAATCATGCAAAGCTCCCTTACTGGAGATCAAGAATGAAAATATGAATTTGGAAATGTGCAAAATACTTTCTCTTTTATAAATAAGAGCAAGCAGTTCCTTGGCTTCTGTAGTTCAGGAGTGTTAATAGTCATTCTTAAGATTAAGTTGTTATTTTCTGAAACTGTAGATTATTTCGTTGAAAAAACTCAAACTGTGTGTTGGTCTCAGGTGTAGGCAGGATGTGAAACAACCAGTAGAAACGTTAAGTGAAACTAAAATGAAAAAATGTGATCTTGTTAAGCGAACAGAAATTTTCTGGAGTGATTATGCTGATATTTAAAATATCTGCTGAAAATGCTGAAAATTCTGGGGTGTGAGGTTCTTTTTGGGAGAGAAAAGTTTAAGGATGTCCTAGATTGATATCAAACACCCCTAGTGAGACATTACCACAGTTTCTAAATAGTTCTGACACATTGATGAGATCTTGAGAGGATACATCTTTCTAGCCTTTAAGCTTTGCACTTGAGGCCACATATGGGGAACTACTTCTCCACAAGGTCTCAGTTAAAATTGTTATTTCAACACGTTTTCATTACAGGCGTTCTTCGGCACCAATGTCTCAGGTTTAGGCACTAAAATGTACTTGTTAGATTTATGGAAAATTGTGTTATTTAGATATAAATGTTCCTCTACACAGCATTAACCCTGCACATGAACTGTCGAAAGGCATTTGTCAGGTTAACTAGTACATGCCCAAGCTACAGTTTGTTACGCCTGTTTGTGCAGTTGGTTGTGAAATTAAGATCTTAACATGGTTGCATGAGGGGGTGTAGGTTCATAAAGGCAAAAAACAGGTCATTCTAGCCTGCAGCTAGGCAGCTGGCTGGCTGATTGCATCATAATTTATCATGTATGCTGTAACTGAAGGTTTTTGAAAATAAAATATACGTTACTGTAATGGAACGAAACTATTCTTTTATAAAGTGCTAAATAAATGCTCAAAACAGATCATTTTAGCCTGTGGATAGGTGGTTGCCAGGCAACCTCATGGTGTCAAAATCAAGATCAGGAGAAGTTTTAGGGACATAAACTGGATGCCCAAATCCTGGTTTTGTGGAAGGAGCAACCAACTAACCAACCAACTAACCAAGCAAATACACAGACGACCAGTCCCCGCCTCTTACTCACTGACGGCTACGATAGGCTCCACCCTAACCTGAATTATAGATGGATGTTTTGCGCAACCAGCAGTCCAAACCTCAACATATTTTTAAAAAATTGTTGAAAGAGAACTCACGTTTTTTTTTTGATTTTTTCAAATCTGTAATCTGTTAGATTTTTTTCCAAACACATTTCCTTAAAATATGTTAGCAACATCTTCCTGGAAAACAAGGTGATCAAAAAGGTTTGGCGACTTTTTTGTTTTGTAGGGGATGTTTGTCTAACCAGAAGTCAGTCCTTACAGTTATTTCTTTTCAGCTGTGCGTTATTTGTTGTTGCATTTATTGAATTGAGTTT